TGCAACTGCTTTGGAAAACAGTGTGGCGATTTCTAAAAGAACTAGAAATTTACCTTCTATATGACCCAGCAATCTTCCTACTAGGAATATACCTGAAGGAACTCAAATCATTCTACAAAAAAGATACCTGCACATGCGTGTTTATTATTGCAGCACCATTCACAATAGCAAAACCGTGTAGCCCATCAAAACTAGACTGGTTAAAAAAAAATGTGGTACATATGCATAGTGGAATATTATGCAGCCATAAAGAAGGACAAACATATGGACTTCACAGCAACTTGGATGGATTTAGTCTATCATACTCAGTGATCTATTAAAAAAACAAAGAACAAAGTACCAAAGTGCCACGTGTTCTCACTCATAAGCAGACCCTGAACATTTACCATAATATTTTAAAAAGGGATTGGCAGTAGCGGGATACTGCTAGGGTTGAGGGGGGTGGACACAACATCAATAAGAGTACCTGATCTCAAACCAGGCAAAGTGGAAACTAGAGGGAGACCCAGACTTTACCTGTATGATGACCACTTGCTTATCTAATCCTGAAACGTACCCCAGATGTTAAAAAATAATTACAATTTTCAACTAAAATTTAAACATCTCAGCCATTAACAGCACTGATGAACGGACATGCTAAGAATATGAGGTACAAGAGTAAAGAGGGAGAGATGATGGTAGCATTCTTCGTGCTTTCTTAGTCCTAGAATTTCAAAACAAAAAGGAATCTTTACATGTATGTTTTATACCTATTCATTCATTAATTCAACATGTAATTACTTAGCACTGACTATGTGCCAGGTGCTGTTCCAAAGGATAAAGGAAGCAATATACTAAACAAATTATAGCCTTTTCCTAGCAGAGCTTATACTTTATTGAAGAGAGACAAAGAATAAAGAAAAATAAGGGAAAAGTAGTACATAGTGCATTTTTACATAAAAAAAAGGTCAGGAAAAGCCTCACTAAGGTAACACTGGGCAGACACTTAAGGAAATGAGATAGACACATAATTATGCTGAAGAAAAGCATTTTAGACAGAGGAAATAGCAATTGCAAAGGCTCTAAAAGGGGTGTCAGAGGAGCAAGGAAGCCAGACCTGTGGTGATCTCAGCAGGGAGGGGAGTGCTTCTAATGTCTATCCTAGGAAAGAAGGTGAAAGGATAGATCATGTAGGGCTAGGGGTACAGTCAGACCTACAATAAGGAAAACAGATGGGAAAATTTAGGGCATTCTGAGAAGAGGAATGATATAATTTCACTTTACCCTGGCTGCCATATTTAGACTGTAGTGGTAGTAGAGAATCAAAAGAAGGGAGACCAACCTGTGCGCTACTCCAGGGAAACATGATGATGGTTTGAACGAGAGTGGTAGCCACACTAGTGGCCTGATTCTGCATATATTTTTAAAGTACAGCTAACAGGATGTGTGGTAGCAGAGAGAAGTCAAGGATTACTGCTGTGTTTGGCTTGAGCAACTGAGAAATAAAGACAGAAAAGACTGGCTGGGTATAGTGACTCACTCCTATACTCCCAGCACTTTGGGAGGCTGATGCAGAGGACTGTTTGAGGCCAGAAGTTTGAGAGCAACCCAGGCAACGCAGCAAGACCTTGTCTCTACAAAATAAATAAATAAAAAATAAAATTGACTGGGTGTGGTGGCATGCACCTGTAGTCCCAGCTACTCGGGCAGCTGAGGTAGAAGGATCGCCTGAGACTAGGAGTTGAAGGATATGGTAAGCCATGAGTGTGCCATTGCACTCCAGCCTGGGTGACAGTAAAACTCTAACTCAAGAAAAAAAAATTATTTGATAAAAGAAATCATTTAATAAAAACATGATTTATAAAGCCAAGTAAAAGAAAAACACTACAATCAAATCAAAATATAGGAAAAATGCTTAAAATTTGGTATATTTTTAATGTCTCCAAATATAAGAAGAATATATAAAGTGAGAAGCAATAACAAACCATGAGCAGAGTTGTGGGAAGCAACATAATAAACGGAGTAGGAGACAAAGAAAAGCCTACACAATAGGCTGAGAGACATCTGAAGGGTTGGAAAACCAAGAAAATATCATAGTAACAAAGAAAGTACAAGGTTTCAAGGAAAATATACTTAATAATATTTAATGACTAAGAGAAGGTATATACACACAGAAACACACACAAGTAAATAAATATAGTGATTGGATTTGGCAACAAGGAAATAATTGGAGAATATTATGAATACTTTGAGGACTAACAGTAGTGAATCAACAAGTGAATGAAGTGAATGCAGTCATCCATAGGAGGAGCTTGTGTTTAAGAGGAGAAACACAAATCAGTGATGTTTAAAAGGGGATGTTTCAAAGAGAGAGAAGTCAAAGAAATAAAAAAGGTTAAGGCCCAGGAGAGAGTTCAGTTACATTTTTTAAATGATTCATGAGTCGGGCAAGAAAGTATGCAATTTAGGGCACAAGTAGAATGGCCCCAGAGAGAAAGAACATTACTTCTGTTGAGATGGGGGCAAGAAGTACAAATACAGACATATAATAAGAGGAGTAGCTTCAGTAGCTTCTATGACCTCTGAAAAGAGGAATCAAGGCCATTTTTATAGGAAAGGAAACAACATTTCCTGAACATCTCCATGGGAGCTAGGTACTTCCTTAGGTACATTTGTTGAAGTTATTTAATACACCTAAATGAATGACAAGAGACCTTCATATCTGATGCATTCTAATATCTTAATAATATTTTACTGCTCTTTTCTACATTAAAATATATCCAATTTTTAAATTTAGCATTTGAACCACAGTTTATATTGACAAAGTTCTTCACACACAAAAATCACCCCTTCAAAATGTTTATAAGGCAGCTAAAGTTGACAGAAGGTTGAACAAACTCAAAACTCTTGTCAATATTCTGTCAAAACACAAAATATATTATAATCTAACTTTTTTCCAGTACTCCAATAACTTGTGCTTCGGCAAACAACTCTTGAAGCCAAAACAAAGACTGTGTCATCCCTAGACCCAGTCCATTCAGCTTGAATTTCTCACTCTGACTCCAACTACCTCTCCTTTCAGGCTTATGATGCCTGTTTAATCCGTTCTCTAACTTCATTAAGGTAGACCTAAACACTTTCACCCAAGTCTCACTTTCTTTAAACTATTCTCTCAATAGCACACTCAAACTGATTCCCTCTTATTCTTCTTCTGTAATACCCACCATTCTAAGAAATTCTAAAGGAGTATTCATCTAACAGTACATATTCTCCACTCATCTCTATAAATAAACATAATTAGTGAAAAATCCTGCAGCCACTGTAGGCTTTTATGTCTTAACTGGACTTTGAGTCAGCTTCCTTTCTCATTCTCCTCAGTTAGTCTAAACCCTTATAGTATAACTCATACAGTGTGTTATAACCTAGCTCATCTTTGTACCCCTTCCTACAATACCAGGTCACATGAGTTACACTGCTAAATTACTGGGACTACAGATTAGGAAACATGATGTACCAGCAGGGCAGTGTCAGGCATTTTCCTTCATAAGAATCCTTGTGGCAGTTTACAAAGCAGGTCATATAGCTGTCCAGGACTATTATTTTTGGTCCCAAAAGGAAAGCTCAAGTTCAAGAAGGATACTGCTCACAGAAGTCGATATCTCTCATAACAACTTTGCAAGAATAGTTTCCAAGCTCTTCAGAAGGGAAATGCCCAATTACAAGAGTCACCATAATGGCATCCCGCTAGGTGTTTAGAGTTTTCCCAGTTCAGGTGCAACTAACTTGTCAGGGGTGATTTTTACTATAAGAAATGTTGTCTAGTAGCACACAATTGAAATTTCACTTTTTTCAGGTTTTAGAAACCTGGAATCAGAGTTAGAAACTAACATAGGGCCAAATTCTCATGTAGGCAGAGAAAACACTTCGCCACTAACTCCCAAATACATACTCTAGCCTAAAAGCTCAAAATCAACAATTCTAATAAAGAACTTATTTACTTTTGACTAATCTACTTTTTTTTCTTATATGCCTCGATCAATTGATGGCACATCCCTCAGCTAGTAACTACAGTCAGAATCCTAAGAGTCATCCTGATTTTTCCTTCTCTTACATTCAATTAACAAGTTTAATTGATTTTTGTCCTAAATATGTGTATATCTGTTCCTTCCTATCAACATTACAAATGTAATTTTTGCAGAAAATACTTACAATGTTATGCCTCCATGTGTTGCGCACATATAAGTCTATTTGCCTAGAAGGCAATTAACCTGTTTTGTCATTTGACAAACTCATCTAACCTACCTACTTGTTAACTACTCCCTCATTTGAACTTTTTATCAATGCCCACAAAGAGTATATGAGACAATGAATATGCACAATTCTACTGAAGGATGAGAGACATAGCATTAGACTTAATTTTTTTAAAAAAGCAAAGATAGATTTATTTTTAAAAGTGGAGATAGGAGAGAAAAATTTTAAAACATAATCTGGGAAAAGATATACGTCTATTTTTTAAAATAAACCAATTAGCCAGTAGTTCACAAAGAGGCCAGTCTGAGTATTTAGCTCTTGAAAAGACTTTTAAGTGTTATTAAAGAAAAGAATTACAGTTCTTCACAGATTCTATGAAGCACCTTGAGACCTTAACTGTGCATAATGGAGTGCCAATTATCTTCCTTAGGACCTCTTCTTAATTTGGTTAGGTGTGCATCAATTTTCTCATGGGTATAATTTCTATGCCATACTACTTCTGTTTCTATCTACTGTCTCCCACACTTAAGGACATCAAAGGCTAGGGATATTTCTCTATATTTCTTTAATACCTAGAACCAATATCTAGACAGAAATTAAAATTTTACAAATAATTCAGGCTTTAAGTCCCTTCTTTGTAAAAACCAAAAAACAAAAAAAATTTTTTACACATCAGAAGTAATGATATGATTAACATCAAAAGTGTTTAACTCTAATCTTGCACATGATTAAGCAAAATCAGAAAGAGTATTTAAGAACTGATGCCTTACCTGTGTCTTACATCATACATCTCATTCCGAAATTCAGAAACTATTATCTGTGGCCTTGAGGACCCAGGTAAATAAAACTTTCTCATGAGTGCCTGAAGGACTCTTTCATCAGCATGATTGTGGCAACAATAGGCTTGTAGAAGTCCTTTTAAGCAAGATTCAATAGCCAAAGCAAGCTCCGGGTCCCGAAGGTGAATGCAAGCACCTACAAGTGAGAGAAAATTATAGAAGGGCTCATACACTTAGGATGAAATATTAACATAACTATCCTTTTTACTTCAATTAATAAATAACTTAAAATATTTTCATAAAAAACAATTTAAGTGATATTACAGATCTTATTCTAACTAAATGAGAAATCCCCATATACCCATGGGATACACTAAAGGAAAACCCACCAAATCCCGTGGAGAAAAAAAAAAAAGCTTCATTCTAATGTAAATCAACTGTGGCCTTTCTATATACATTTATACTATCCCAGTCTTTCAATTGTGTTTTGAAAACCAAGTCCCAGGCAACCCCTTCAGGTCTCCTCCCACTGTGGGAGCTATTCTGTCCTCTCAATAAATCCTGCTTTCTCACTTAAAAAAAACAAAAAACAAAAAAAGGAAACCAAGTCCACAGATTTACAGATTCTTTATTATTTTCGGTAAAACTGATTACTACTAAGAATTTTGATTTAGAGATGAGAAAAAAGACATCATCCATTGAAATGGGTCCCGGTATAAAGGTGTATATCATTTAAACGAAGAGACATTACTCCAACATTTAACTAACAAAATATAGCACCATTTTCACCTGATGATGTACAAAATTAGAAATAACTCCCCAGGAGAACGTGACTAAGTTTTTAAAATTCCATGTATACATAAGAGTAATTAAATAATCACAGATTTTATAGTTGGAAGATAACTTAGAAATCATGTTGTACAATTTAAATAGAAACTAAGAAAGAAAAGTCATTTTATAAACGTTACAAAACTCAGTTAAGTGCTCTTTCAGTTGTATCTTGATGTTATTTGATTTTTTTCTGACTAATCAATTATATAAAATTAGTTCATTCACTTATTTAGGAAAAAAATAGGAATCAGATTATTCAATTCTATAATTATTTTCCTTTGACTATTTAATTAATTAATTTATTTTTTTAGTTGGAGTGTCACACTGTCACCCAGGTTGGAGTGCAGTAGCACACTCATGGCCACCGCAGACTTGACCTGCTGGGCTCAGGTGATCCTTCTGCCTCAGCCTTCCAGGTAGCTGGAAATACAGGCACGCACCACCACACTCAGCTACTTTTCTAATATATTGTAGAAACAGGTCTCGCCAAGTTGTCCAGGCCGGTCTTGAACCTGTGGGTTCAAGCAATCCTCTCATCTCGGCTTCCCAAAGTGCTGGGATTATAGGAGTGAGCCACCACGTGCCTAGCCCTATTTTATCTTTAAAATAAAAAATGGGCTGGGCATGGTAGCTCAAGCCTGTAATCCCAATATTTTGGGAGGCCAAGGTGAGTGGATTGCCTGAGCCCAGAGATTTGAGACCAGCCAGGGCAAGTTGGTGAGACTTCGTCTCTACAATATATCAAAAAATTAGCTGGGCATGGTAGCACACGCCTGTAGTTCCAGCTACTTGGAAGGCTGGGGTGGAAGGATCGCCTAAGCCCAGCAGGTCAATGCTGGGGTGGCCATGAGCATGTCACTGTACTCCAGCATGGGTAACAGAGTGAGACTCTGACTAAAAAAAATAATAATAAAATAAAATAAAATAATAAAAATTGAAAGCTGTAAAGTTTAACGTTATCTTATCACTATTTTTAAAAATAAATCATTTATTGTTTAAAATATGCACAATTCAAGTTAACATGTAACTAAATAGTTCTTTGATATTAGAATTTTAAAACTAAATTAATAGACCGTTCTGAAATTAAAAACTTATTTCTAATGTTTATTATAACCTCAAAAAAATCATATTAAATACCTAAAGGGCCTACAGGTTTATAGGTAAAATGTCCTTGTTTATAAGCCTCATCTATTGCTTCAAGAAGAGCTGGAACATTAGGGCCAAACCGTTTTAGCCGATTAGTTTTACTATCTTTTAATTCTTTCAGTTGCCTCTGATTATAGCTCATCGTATGCTTCACATCTAATTCTTCTCTCCTAAAAAATAAAAGTAGATAATCAAGACAGACGTGTGATACAGTTATAAGAAATACTCAGTCTTTGCCCATAAGACCTGAATACCAATAAATAACCCAGATACCTTAAAAACTAAAAGCAGTATTATTTATTTGAAAATAACTGTGTTAGCAAAGAAAAATTGTCAGAAGTCCTCAAAACTTGGTAAAAAGAAGTGATACAATAGTAATAGACTAGGAATACCAGAAACTATTCAAATCGGCAAGTGTAAAAAGTCTTGAAAAAGCGATTTTAAAAGATTCCTTATTATGTAGAAGAAACAAAACCATATTTTTCTCTCTTCATATACAGAGCAAGACAACATGATGTTCAAGTAATTGAAAATAAGTCATTCTAAGAATGTTGCAACTTACCTAATTCTGGTATATTCTTCTTTGTCCTTTTCTATGGCTTGCTGAAATTGTTCAATCTCTTGATTGACTGAATTTTCTTTATCCTGTAAGACCTTTACTTTGTCTTTTAACCAAGATATTTTTTTTTGCCTTTCCAACCGCTCAGGTTCCAAAGATTGATCAGTACTAACAGTAAATAATTTAAAATGAAAAATGTTAAATGAATGACCTATCATTTATGAAACATAAACCAATGTGATAAAATTCTATTAACAATACAGAAAATATAATACACCTAGATTACTTTATTACAAAATGAGGTAACTGTGAAAATTTCAAATCCTACCTTTTTTTAAGTTCTTCAATTCTTTTACTAAGCTGCTCATCATCTTTCTTTAATGCTTTATATTCATTTAAGGAACGGTTATATAAAACCTAACAAAAAATTAGAAATGCTTTAGTAAAATAAACACAAATATCCCATCGAAGTTCACTTTCCCAAATCTTCGATCAGAGGCTGAATATGTGTAGAAAAACATTTTTAAAGTCAAATACATAAATGACTACTTGAAATCATAACATTTTTGAAAGTTCAAAAGAAACAAATTTCAATTCTGATACAAAACCTCTATTTTAAAAAATAGATGAACAATCTTCATATTTACTAGCAGTTTTTAATACTCCAGTGCAGAACATTTCTCTCACCTCTGCTTCATTATAAGCCCTTTTCTTAGCAGTGACATCTGCTTTCAATGCCATACATTCTGGTGCTCTTGCATTTGTTTCTTGACTGATTTTTTCTAGTTTATCTTGAATATCCTTGTATTTTTTTTCTGCTTCATTAAGTCTGACCTTTAAGAAAATAACATTATTGGAATATATTTTAATTTTTCCTTAATAGAGAAAAATGTAACAATAATCATATATAGTACACATCCGATAATAAATTTAATTTCACTTAAGACATTAAGCAAACAAACATAATTATATAAAATACTAAAACATAATTTAATTTTAGCCCACCTTTAATTCTTCAACAAATGTGCTATCCTTTGGGGATAAAATAATACAGTAACAATTGTTCAGAAATAACACAATGAAAGGGAGCTAGACACAATTTGGCAGAAAAAAAGAACACAAACTAATGCTACAGTTTGTATACAATAATGCTTAAGTAACATATGGTATGTCTAGTTAAAATTGTTAGCCGGGCTTGGTGGCTCAGCCTGTAATCCCGCGCCTTTGGGAGGCTGAGGTGAGTGGATTGCCTGAGCCCGCGGGTTCGAGACCCGCCTGGGCAGGTGAGACCTCATCTCTACAATAAATTAAAAAAAAAATTAGCCTGGTGTGGTAGCGCGCGCCTGTAATTCCAGTTACTCGGAAGGCTGAGGCAGAAGCATCGCCATAGCCCAGCAGGTCGAAGCTGCAGTGGCCGGGAGCGGCCACTGCACTCCAGTCTGGGCGACAGAGTGAGACTTCAACTCAAAAAGTAAATAAGTAAATAAAAATAAAATTGTTGAAGTTCAGAGAAAGAAACTATAGGTCTGCCAGAAAAAGTGAAAAATAGCCGGGCTCAGTGGCTCAGTCTGTAAGCCCGCGCTTTGGGAGGCTGAGGTGAGTGGATTGCCTGAGCCCGCGGGTTTGAGACCTGCCTGGGCAACTTGGAGAGACCTCATCTCTACAATAAATCAAAAACTAGATGGGCGTGGTAGCGCGCGCCTGTAGTTCCAGCTACTTGGAAGGCTGAGGCGGAAGGATCACCAGAGCCCAGCAGGTCGAGGACAACAGAGTGAGACTCCAACTCAAAAAAACTAAAAAGAAAAAGAAAAAGTGAAAAAGGTCTTCAAAGAGGAAGCAGTTTTTGAACTGAGGCCTGAAAAATTAATCAAAGTGTACCAGGAGATAAGTTGGGGAAGTGGTTAGGGGTAGATGGAAGTGCATGTACAAAGGTATTATTATCTACTTAAATATTAAAAATATTGCTGGACTTAAATTAAGAGGATAATGATAGAAAACGAAATAATAAGGTAGAAGAGCCTTGCATTCCATAATGAACAACTTATAATGTAATCCTCTAGACAACAGAGACAAAATATTACCAAATCTGCCTTTTAGATTACTCTGGAAGCACTTGGAAAGCAGGGTAGAGGGAACATTAGAAGACAAATACAAGAACTATTTATTTTTTATTTTTATTTATTTAATTTTTTTACAAGAACTATTTAGATCAGGGGTCAGCAAACCTTTTCTATAAAGAGTCAGATCATGTACACTTCAGGCTTTGTGGGTCATATGGTCTTTGTTATAACTACTCAACTCAGCAATTATAACATGAAGCACCCAAGGACATTATGTAGAAGAATGCTTTTTATAAAAATTAAAGTTGGATTCAGGTGCTACACAAACTAACATAATTCATACATTTTCAGTTTTAACTTAGGTTAACAAAATTTAAAGTCTGCTTTAGACACTCTCTTTAGAAATCTTCCATCCAACAGTTAATCTACAAGCAATAATAAAGCACATACAGTGTGAAAGTCTTCAGTTAAGACATGGTAGGAAGGATAGAAATATAAAATAAGAGTTCCTACCCTCCAGAAAGATGCCATTAACTACATAGAATGCCCAAATGCTTAGGTAGAGAAAAAGGCCTACAGAACTAAATATCACCTAGTTTTAAGAGCCTCTTTTTCCCATCTGAAAAAGAGGTGAACATCTATGACTAAGACTGGATTCCATTTTAAACTGGGAAATGTCTAAGGAGGAAAGTACTTAAGGTCTTCCCTATGACAAGTTGAGAAATGAGACTGAGAAAAATATTTGGTGAAAATTTCAGAATACTCTTTCAGAAATAAAAATCTGTGGTGAGAGATGGGAAGAACAAAATACTAAGAGGCAAGTAAGCTATACTGACAGACTTGAGTACAATTGAGGGAGAAGAGGAGTAAAGAAAGAAAAAGCTAGGTGTTCTACTTCTGGCATGACAGCATGAGGAGTTCCAGAGGCTGCTCAGTCTTGTGAATATATTAAAGCTTACTGACTCAGACACTTTAAAATGGGTGAATTGTATGGTATATCTCAGTAAAGCTGAGAAAGAGGGAGGGGATGAGAGGGGGGAGAAGAGAAAGGAGGGAAGGGAAGGGGGAAGGGGAGGGGAGGAAAAGGTCAAATATAAAGAACGGATCTGCTGAATAGTAAAAGGGTCCATGTGGAAAACCCCCACAGAGAATGACTGCCTTCATTTACCACTCAACCACCTTCTACTGTACCTTTCGAACCATGTTAAAGACCCTTGTGACTTTCTTAAATTTTAGATGGAGTAGTTTCTACACGGGCTCTTAGATATCAGGTTGAAATTAGCAGACCTAACAACTTATCCTATATGGGTTCCACCTATATGAAATCTTCCGACAAGCTATCTTGGTGCTGGTCCCTAAAACTCAGTTCCCTGAAAGTCCCATCAGCAATCTCTGGGTATCGTTTTCAGCTCTGAGTTCTTATACTTTGTGATACTTATCTTTAATGATATTCTAATTGAGTATTATCCCAGCACCCCTTTACTTCTCAAGTCTTTTGGTGATTCAACTCCTTAATGAGTCCAAGAGTAAGAGCCTGATTCTAGTATCTCTAGTCAGTACTAAAGTTCCATTGTCCACAGACATGAGAGTTTTACAGTTCTAGCCTCAGGCAGTCTTACCACAGCCAAAAACTTTTTCTAGAGACAGGAAAAAGCAAGCTGAGGAAGATTACACCCTATACCACATCCTATACCACAGCCTCTTTCCAGGCCACACAGGTCTGCTTCACTTGAGTCATAAATTAAAGCACAGATGAATACATAGGTTTAAACTGCCACTTTTGTGGGTCATAATCTAATATCAACAATTTTACATGATTCACATTACTAAATCTGAATTTTAAAAATTGTAATTACCTGCTGTTCTTCCATTTTCCTGTCAAGTCTAGTAGCACGATCTTCTCCAATTTTGATATTATCTTTAATAGCATTCAATTGTTTTTCGATTTCAGTGACCTAAAAAGAAAGTATATTGCAAATCACTGGTAAGATTAATAACCAAATATATTCTGTACATCACAAAAATATGTTAACAAGCAATTAAGTGAAAATTACCACTGCCCAAGCCATTTCATGTTTTAAGTTCTCTAAATTAGTCTTCATTGTACTCAATCCAGCAATACTTTGGAAACGTTCCTCTTTCTCCAAACACTGGCGCTTTAATTCAGTCAGTCGCTTAAAAAAAAAGGGTATATTTCTTATTAACAGTGAAATAAAGATCTTTTTTGCAAGTGTATTTTTGAAAACAATGTCCAAACAAGTACAACATAAAGATGTGTTGGAAATGAGTTTTTAAAAGTGAAATCAAAAATATTTTTTGTTCTTTGATATATATACTTTTAGAAGGTACAATAATTTTCTTATTTCTGTACTATAAAATGGCCAAATATCCTTCAGATGAAGAAAAGCAGCCGGGCTTGGTGGCTCAGTCTGTAATCCCACGCCTTGGGAGGCAGAGGTGAGTGGATTGCCTGAGCCCATAGGTTCGAGACCTGCCTGGGCAACTTGGTGAGACCTCATCTCTGCAATAAATCAAAAATTAGCCGGGCATGGTAGCACATGCCTGCAATTCTGGCTATTCAGAAGGCTGAGGCAGAAGGATCACTGGAGCCCAGCAGGTCGAGGCTGCAGTGGCCGGGAGCAGCCACTGCACTCCATTCTGGGCAAAAGAGTGAGACTCCAACTCAAAAAGAAAAAAAAGAAAAGAAAAGAATTAAAGGTTCAAGACTACACAAGTATAGACAAATCCCAAAACACACTTTCCCATTTCCTTTTCTATTCTGTATCTGATAAACACATTGGTCTGTTCTTGCAGACAAAGTATAATAAGCACCCATTTCAAAAAAAAAAAAGGATCAGAAGGAATTTATTTCCAAAAATCAAAAAAGTTATAATTTGTCTTATCTACATTCTCTTTTAATAGTTGATAAATAAAATCACCAAGCAATATGAAATATTATGACATTAGAATGGCTCCTGAAGTGGCTTTGAGCCTTCATATTCTATATACCTGGGTGGATAGCCTGTCCTCTTCATTCATACTTCCCATCTAGGGCCTGAACACAGTAGTCAGGGGTTCCCAACCCCCAGGTCATGGACCAATCCATGGACTGATATTGGTCCATGGCCTGTTAGGTACCGGGCACACAGCAGGAAGTGAGTGTCAAGTGAAAAAACCTGCATCTATATTTACAGTCTCTTCCCATCACTCACATTACCGCCTGAGCTCCACATTACGTCAGAGCAGCAGCAGCACTAGATTCTCATAGGAGTGCAAACCCTATTGTGAACTGCATATGTGAGGGATCTAGGTTGCACACTACTTATGAGAATATGAGGTGGAGCTGAGGCAGTGATGCTAGCGCTAGAGAGTGGTTGCAAATACAGATAACATGAGGTTTGGCTGCACATCTTTCCCCCAACCCCAGTCCGCAGAAAAATTGTCTTTCCCTGTCCCTAATGCCAAAAAGTTGGGGACTGCAACTGTAGATCTTACTTTGCTTTCCTATACAATTTCCTTTCCCATTCTTCAGGATGATTTCAATCCATTATTGCTCTCTTCAAACCTCATACACACTGCCATCCTAGCCCCTCATTCATTCCCCTTGTCTCTAGCTTCAGAGAATTTAGAAGCTATGAGACACAAACTTCCCCTAGCTTGCAACAATCTTGACAAATCTAAAGCAGTCATCTCTTCTTGCAACAAAAGACAGGTGGCCTAATTATATTTAAATCCAGTCCCCTATATATATCTTGAACCCTACCTCCTCTGCCTTCTTAGAAGTCTCAATCAATAAATTTTCCATCCCATCTTTTCATCAAATCTCACCCTCTTCACTGGCTCCTTTCCATTATCATGCTCATCTCTATTCACATATCTTTCCAACTTATAAACAAATCTACTAGTACTCTTCTCTTGGCACCAACACCTCTAAAATTCTTCTTCCATTTTCATCCAGCTTCATGAAAAATATCTCTTACCTCCTCTACTTTGTCACATTTTTCAGTCTCACAAACCTGCCTTCTGTTTCATCACTACTGAAACCCATCTGTGAAGATTATGTCTCTAAATACAGTGAGTTTTGTAAATTTCCATGGTGTTTAATCACACAGTAAATCTCACTGTTGTGAATAGTTCCTTCTCAAATTCTCTCTTCTCTTGACTTTATGATTCAGACCTGGGCCCTCTTTTTCTCCTCTCTCAGCAATCTAATTTGTAAGTTATTTTTGTGGCTCAGATACTAAGAATATACTGATAACTCCTACATTTTTACTGAAGACAGACTTGACATCTGTATTATACCTAATTCATATATCCAACTTCTCATATTACATTTCCATTCAGATGCTTCATAAGCATCTCAAAATTAATGTGTTCAAAATGGAATTTACCTTTCTCTTAAAAAAAAGAAAAGAAAAGAAAGAAAACAGAAAACTGGCCTCTCTTCCCAAGCTTCTTATCTCAAACCTACTCACTGCTGAGGTAATTAATCTGCAGGTCATTCAATTACCCTCGTTGCCTCTGTCTTACTAAACTTTACTCCTTTTTGTCCCCTACAATATCTGCCCAGATCATTTCAAAGCTCTTCTCTCCCTTACTACTGCCCATACCCTAACATAAGCCATCATCATCTCTTTGGACAATGATAATACTTTCTTTACTGATTTTTTCCATATGTCCTTTCTTTACAGTAGTTCACTCTCTTCTACAGAAGAGTAATCTATTGAAAATATATAATTAATTAAGTCATCCACTTTCATGTCTTCTACTGCCCTTAAGGTTTACAAGGTCTTCCACAATCTGGACTCTTATCTCTCACTCTTGTGTTCTTCATTCTAGCCACTTTGGAACTCTTTCAATTTTTTTTTTAAAAGCACCATATGCTCTTATGCTCTCTTGCCCCTGAGACTTCAACCATGCTATTTCCTGAACACTCTTCCTTATTTGCACTATCCTTTGCCTAGCATTATTCATCCTTCAGTTCTTAGACATCAATTCCTTAATAACTTCCTCCTGTCACTACCCCTCCCCCAATGCCAGTACCCTATTAAGTGCTTTTGCATAAATCTAGTCTATAGCTCCATTAGTAGTGCTTACCATACTAAAATTATTTATGATGGTTTCTGCTGAATAGTTAAGTCAATGACCCCAGAATCCTGATACTTTTTTCTCACTATATGCCCATGGAATAGCACAGTGCTAACAGGTATATGGTAGGAATTTAATATTTGCTAATTAAATGACTCTATTTGTTAAAAACAAATACTATTTGCTAAGGATTTAACTACTCAAATCTAGAGTTTATTTTGAGAAGATAGGGCATTTAATCCTTTTTTTTTCAAGTTCTTATATATGTCAGGAACTCTGGCTATACAATATAGGGAAGTGCTTCTTCTCAAACTTCATAATCAAAATATCTTTAATTGCTGACAACAAAGTATACTATGGAGAAAGTGAGTGTTTAACACAAGTGGTCTGAAGCAAACAAATTTCTTCAAAGTTCTAATTTTTTATTTTTAAAATAATAAATGTAATATATACTACATATGGTTGTCAAAATATGAACATGTTTTCTTTCCCCAATAGTAAAACTGGTACTCAAAGACAGTGTGCTATATCAATTCTGTGGTTTATAGTAAGTAGCTCCTTACACAGTACCATGTAACCCAGGTTTGAAAAGATGGTGTAGGAAATAACAATATATGTACACATTCTTGATTTTTGAATTTTCTCTTAATGAACCAAATAACTATAGGCCTAACTTAAAATATGCATTCCTCAAAAACTCGAAGTAAAAAGGTTACTGTGTGCTATCTAATAAATTTGACTTCAGACCATCATTAGTACAATTCTACCTCAAAAGAACAAACTAAAGAGTTGATAAAAGCTCAACCATTTGTATAAAACTGACCAAATAACAAAATAACAGATTTGGAATAATGTAAAATTGGTGGGGCTTAATGTACTAGGTAAACAGCTATAATGTAAGTCTTATTACTCCGAAGTCTCTGATTAACAGGCAGAAGGTTGGTATTCAGGAATCTGAAGAAGAAAATATGGGAACAAAATATAGTAGATGTAAAAATAAATTTAAGTAAGTCATGGTTAGTGTGAGTGATTTAAAATTCAAGTAAATTTGCACAGTTGCCAAGCTGTTGAGTAATGGTGTGACAGCTGCTACAAAGCTATCAGTTGCTTAAGGAATGTTAACATTTTACTAGTGTAATGACAGTCATCTCAGTAATTTGTAATTACTGCATGTAATTATAAATGCATACTATGTTTAATATCAGCTTGAGGCTTGTGCTTATTATCTCAGCAAAAGAAATGTCATAGTATTTTTAAACTGCTTACAGTGAGAGACAGTGATACCTTATTATGGAACCAATTAGTCATATCTCAAGGGATAAGTATGTAAAGATATCGTCCTCTTCTCTAGCTTATAGCTTAATGGAGGAAGTAAGACACAGCCACACTCATTATTATAAAACAACAAAAAAAAGGCTACTAAATACCTTGAATATAAAAACCATACCTTATATATTTCAGAGTACTAAGAAAATGCTATTAGTTTTCTATAAAGATATAATTTTACAATGATATTTATCTTAATTACAGTAGAAATTTGATCTCAAAAAGATATTTTACAATAGCTGTTTGCAAACCTCTTCTCCTTGATTTATCTGTTCCTTTGTTCTTTCTTTGGTTTCCATAATGTATGAATAATCTTCCTTCATCTGTTCAAGCTGGGTTGCTTTCATGAAGAACTATATCAACAAAAAAAAATAATAGGAGTTTGTTAACTTCCACAGAACTGTGGAAAATGAAAAATTTAGTCTGAAAATGTCTTGACCACTTATGGTTAAAAACATAAGTAAGTACACACGCATAAGCACAAAAGAAAATATCTATTTCAGACTCAAATCTATGGAACTTACTATGCTCACATCTATATGTTCATTTGCAAAAGCTCTTAAAATTCCATGAAAGAAACACCTTTTGGGAGCACTTTCACGCTCATTTTCACTAATTCTTCCATTTTTTAAAACAAAAATGATTGAAAACATTCTCATCTTTTATCTTAGCAAATCTTAAACTTTTAGAATAAGAAATATCAAAACTCATTCAAAAGATCTCACAGAAAGTTTAGTAATAGTCAAATATTTTGTCAGCTTCTAAAATTTTAAATAGTTTATGTATGGTCAATTATTACCATGCATTTTCTTAAAGATTAAGAATTAAAAGTCAAAAAGTGAAAATGAACATTTACAAAGAAAATTATACTCCCATCTTAGCAATTTCCCAGTCCAGCCCTACAATACTGCTTTAATAGGTGTCTTTAACAACAACAAACTCAGTCTCTGTGAGCAAGAATAATATTGAAATATTAATAAAACTAAATGTATCTTTTTTGAGCAGGTTTATGTTTACTTTGGAGTCCCTTACTTTGTATTTGTCTCCTTCATTTTTAGACTGCAAGAACTGTTTGCTCATCTCTTGTGTTAAAACTGAAACTGGATTATCCACCTGAAACAAACAACAGTCATTTCACTTAAATGTTATTAAAGAAAAATATAATTAAAATATATATCATATATCATTAAGAAGGCTAAGGCTAGGCATGGTGGCTCACGCCTGCAATCCCAGCACCCTGGGAGGCAAACAAGGGAGTATTTCTTGAACCCAGGAGCTCAAGAACAGCTTAGACAACATAACTACCAAAAAATGTTAAAAATCAGCTGGGTGTGGTGGTGCAAACTGTAGTCAAAGCTATTTTGGAGGCTGAGGCAGGAGAATTGCTTCAGTAACAGAAATTTGAGGCTGCAGTAAACCATGATTGTGCCACTGCACTCTAGCCTGGATGACTGAATAAGACCCTGACTATGAAAAAAAAAGGTTAAGCACTAGCCAGAGGTTACAGCATTAGGGTAAAAATACAAAGAAAAAAATGTTAAGAATTTTAAATGCACACAAAATGTTTCAAAAATTCACTGTACCAAAATAAATACCACAGTCAAAATTTATTATTTTACTAATACTTGAGGACACAAGCACAAGAATCCACTGAAGAAGTATTTTTATTAGAAAGTTTTTCCCTTCCACTTGTTTTGTAGATTATCACTCTTTTGCCACTAGCTAATCATGAGACAACAGGGTGGGAAGAGTCCTAGCATGGGAATCAGTTATCCCAGGTCCTTGTCTGAACTCTCTTTTAAATTCCTATGTAACCTTGGTCAAGTCAGTTAGCTTCTCCAAATAACCACAGTCCAACTCAGTTATTTCTGATCAGACTTGTGATAACAACTATTGTTTGTTTTTCTTATAGAAGTTCTTCAGATTTCCCATGTCTGTATTCCTTCATGAGAATATTGGAAAAGAAATGGAAATAAATCATTTTTATCTTTTGGAAGGAGAGCCATTATGAACAAGCCATTGCTTGAATGAAACTACATTTTTCTAACAAGTTAAGACAATCCAAGTACAGCTAGAAAAGTATAACAACAACAACAAAATACAACTTGTTTCAAAAAGATTCAGGGTCACTAATTAATTATCAATGTCTTTAGTAGTAAAAACAAATCAATTCATGTTTAAAAAATCTTTTTAATTTAAAGATAAATGTAACTAAAATATATATTATATATCATTAAGAAGGCTAAGGTTAGGCATGGTGGCTCACACCTGCAATCCCAGTACTCTGGGAGGCCAACAAGGGAATACTTCTTGAAATTAAAAAAAAAAAAAAAAAAAA